AAGTACTTCCAATGGGGCATGGCCATGCTCCAATCCCTTCTCCATTTCTCCATCCTATTGTGATGTGGGGCATGCATGCACAGATGCCTGGCATGTTTTCAGTTCACCAGGGATGGGACTCAAACTGTGGTCAGCCATATGGGATCCAGCTTCCCCAAGCACTAGGCTGTAGGACTGGCCCACTACTACATAGTTAGTCTTAGTAAATTACAGAAAGTTAAACCAGCCTTATTATTCAAGGAAACAAAACCAACCAAAACATACATGAGATAAAGATACTAAACACCTCATTTTCTTCATTTCAAACATGAACGAAATGACAGTATCAGGGAAGATGCTTTCTCTTCAAGTAACAGAATACTCCATTCAAAATGGCTTAACCAGTAAGGGGAATGTGCTATCTCACAGAATAAGTCCAAAGCTAAGACAGTTATAAGGCAATAAAGTTCTGTTTTTCCAAACATCACATTCTCATACATCCAGAGCCATAAAAGGAAATTTTCTTTGTGTCTTCTTTTAGGCGCTTTGAAATCCTTTTTGATGCTCCCAGAAGGCCTTAAATGCCCTTTACCAGATATATCACAAGCCACGATCTAAACCAAGCACTGAACATGGACTGGGATTGCAGCCATTTTTTTGTTAATCAGAATTGTATTTACTCCCTTTCCTCAAATCATGTGGATAAGCACATAACCTCAGGGAGGAAGGAGGATCCTGATATAAGGGAAAAGAGTAGTTAGCCCACAAGGAAGAAAGGGATTTAGCTTTGAGAAAAAATGACAGGCAGGAATTGCACCTTGAGTAGATTACCCTGCAATAAATTCATCCAAGTGCTCTCTACATTTCTGGCTGATGTGTGCTCGGTATAAACTAATCTTGATTAAACAAAAAATGATTAATAAGTTAATAAGTTAAGCATGCCTAATAAGTTAGCATGCTTTACGGCACTACAAAGACTTTCTAGTGAGTTTTATGTCTGTTATTTAGAATTATCTTATGCCCCAGTCTCTTTAGTACAGATAACACACAATAAATCTATAAACACCTTATTCATCCCGAGATGAATAAGAATGGTTCTAGAACCGGTTCCACATGTTGAGACTCCCTGAGGGCAGGGCTCCTGTCTTCATCTTGAAGCCTCCCACTGTCGAAAGCACTAAACTTTTATCTTCTGATAACTTGAGCAGGTCCTTTACTTACCCTAAAGATTGTCTGAGTATAGGGTTGGACGAACATTTTTAATTATTGTTATGCCATTTCCAGGAACTATGTTGTTCTGACTGGCATACAGTATATTTAAATAAAATGGTTATGTCCCATCCCTCAGTGACAATGACACAAGAATACATATTAACACTCCATATAAGTAGACTTGAGTCTGTCTTTTAATCAGATTTAAGAGTTGCAATTTCTGACCACAGAGTAACAGAGTCATGCAAGTCATGGAGATCCCCAAAGTATCTCTAAGAACCAGAAAAGCCACAGCAAATGAGGATCTTAATCGACCATTTTGTGGCTCAATAATGTAATGTGGTTTTCCTGGAGTATCCTAACTTTTAATCATTCCCTTAATTTCTTTTTTTTTTGTATGTAATAGTCTAGTAATTAAGTAATTAAGATAATTCTTTCTCATTGCACTTCTTTATTTTTCAGGCACTAGTCCCATTAACATTCCCAAGTAAACATTAAGAACAATTTGATTAGAGTGAAAATATTTTGGATTTTGAAATAAATTATTTTGCTATTCTTTCCTGAAGATATCTATTTATTCTTCCTAGTGATATCTATTTATTTTTCCTAGTGATTAAAATAGAATGATTTCTACTGTTACAACAACTGGAATTGCATAATACTTTGGAAGAATTCCAGTAATATTTATATTTATTATTTACATATTAGAAAAGGAAGCATGATTTAATGAAACTTTCCACATTTTATATCTGTCAATACTTTTTTTGACATAGGATTTCTTGAATTTATATCTTGTACAACTGATATTTTTAAGGTGCTAGATCTTAAAACGTACTAGAATATTGAGTTTTCAATTTTTAAAACATTTCATTCCCTTACTATAATGCTTCAAAGTGTAGAATTCTAATATCAGTTAACTGTGTATATTTAATACATTGGATACTTTTTTTTTTTGAGAGGTTTTCGCTATAGGGTGCGTGCGCTCGCCAGACAGACAGAGAGAGACATAGAGACAGAAAGTGAGAAATCACCCCCCAGGGGGGATGGTCACGCCACAATCCCTTCTCCTCCATTCTCCTCTCGGGATCTTGGGCACGCACGCACACGCGCCCAGCGTGAGTTTTAAGCCACCGGGTCCGGGACATAAACCGCGGTCGACTACATGGGAGTCCAGCGACATAGCCATTATGCTAACTGCTGGTTTCCTATTGAATAAATTTTTGAGCATGACTGAAAAAAATTGTAAAATAAAATTTAAAAAAAGAGAGTGTAATTTCCATGTCAGGCAGAACCGCAAAATAAGTATTCTTACCATCCTTTATCATCCCTTCCATTCCTTACTACTCCATTATTTCATCTTTATTTTCTTTCTTTTTTTTGCTAGAAGGCATACATGCTCACCAGAGAGAGAGCGGAGAAAGCACCCTTGATGAGCATGGTCATGTTGCAATCCCTTCTTTTAGGGATTTTGGGCATGCATGCACAAGTGCCTGGTGTGTTTCTCAAGCTACCGGGTATGTTTAGGACTTGAACCACACAGCTGGCCATGTGGGATCTAGATGCCTTAACCACCGGGCCATGAAGCAAGCTCATGTCTCAATGTTCACTTTGTTGCTTTCCCTTAAAAAGGGGACTTACCAAGAATTCGATGCCTTGGAAAAAGATAACACAAGTTCATGAACCACAGACTAATTCAGATCCCATTTATGTCTGTCTCAATTTCTGTAGCATAATCATGTTCTTGTGTGAACAAGGCAAATTTTAGATGTTCACTTAACACCTCAATATGTTAACATGACAAGTGATTAGAAAAGGAGTCTTGGGGGACCAGCAGATGGTGTAATGATTATGTTGCTGGACTCCCATATAGTTGACGGTGGTTCAAGTCCTAGACCTGCAGCTTAAAACTCACGCAGGGTGTGTGTGTGTGTGTGTGTGTGTGTGTGCATGCCCAAAATCCCAAGAGGAAACTAAAGACCTGCCCAAGTTGTCAGAAGATGTAAGTTCAGTGCTATAGACAGTGGGAGGCAGGAAGATAAAGACAGTGGCCCTGCCCACAGGTAGCCTCAATATGTGGAAAGGTTCTAGAAACTGGGACAAATGAGGTGAAAACATACTTAAGCTGTGCAGGTGACAGTGACCACTGGGACCAACTGGACTCATCCCTCTGTTAGAATAAGTAGTATACCTCAAGGGCAGATACTCTTCCTATTGGTAATCCAAGTCCCAGTGCAATGCTGTAAACAAAATAGGTGCTCAATAAATACCAGCTTAATGAATGTTTAAATGTTACAAACTCAGAAAAATAAGGCAAAGTGTGAAAGCCAGACTCAGTCCTTCCCTACTTTTTTCAAATACATGTAAAATAATCCTTTCATTCATTTTCTCCTCAAACTCAAAAATAATTTTTGAGCCCTTCTTATTGTGCAAGGAAGTATTGGGCAAGATATATTATTTTTAAGATAGGGTTCCTGAATTCAAATAGCTTTCCATTTGGCAGGGAAAAGACACCTCCTCAGATAGCTACAATGCAAAACAGAATGCAGGATCATGCAAACGGTTCACGTAAAATATGAAAACCTCCAGGAATGAAAGGTCACATCTGGCACATGGGACCCAAAAGAAGGAGAGATACATGAGCTGAACCTTGAGGATAAGATTTCAAAAAGCGAAATGTGCACGCCTGGAAGAAAGGTGAGGTATGCATCACAAACAGAGAGACCTTCAAGGGAATATTTATTTTTTTATTCAATCAATATTCTTATGTATCTGCAATATGCCAAGTGCTGCTTAGGTGCCAGTGACATAGTAGAAAACAAAACAAAACAAAATCCTGCTGGGTGAAGTTATGGAAAAGCTCCCGGTGTGTCTCCAGAACGTGTGTTAGTCTGTTTTGTAACATATAGGGCTAAAGTGGGGAATAACAGAGATGAAGACAGAAAAAGTAGATTCTAGTGTTGTACTTGATCGTGAAGGTATCAAAAGCCAGTCAAGCTAAAGAATTTTTTTTTATATAGTTGTTGACAGTGAGGAGTCATTACAGATTTCTCAACTGAGGAATGTCTCAATCAAAGTGGTGCTTTGGAAAGAATAACTGGATGGTGGGGTCCAGGGCTGAGTAACTGAGGGTGTGGTTTAAAAGGAGAGAGAATAATTATACATTATTGCATCTGACTGGGAAGGATCCAGCATAAACATCACTTCCTTTGAGATGTCACCCTTGATGCAGCCAGTAAGGATCAAGTATACCACTAAGGTGTCCTTACAATAATCTCTCATTTTATCAGGACACTTACTGCAAAGAATTGTGAATGCCTCTTTATTAGTTCTTATCATTTCTACTCATCAAGAGGGAAGATACCGAACCTTAGTATCTGTATTCCCAGTGCCAGGACTAATGCCTGGCACAGAAAAGAAAATATGAGTGGTATGAGTGAATAACCAAGTATAATGGATTGAATTGTGTCCTCCCAAGAGTGATATGTTGAAGTCGTAATCTCCAGTATTTCAGAATGTGACCTTATTTGGAAGACAGATTTATGGAGATAATCGAGTTAAAATGAAGTAATTAGGATGGCCCCTAATCAAATGTGACTGGTATAAAAAGGGAAATTTGGAGACAGACATACATTCAGGCAGAAGGTGATGTGAACATGAAACTAGCCATTTGCAAGCCAAGGAAGGAAGCCTGGAACATATCCTTCCCTCAGCGCCTCAGAAAAACCAACACTGCCAACCCTGTGACTTTGGATTTCTAGTCTCCAAAACTGTGAGACAATAAATTTCTGATGCTTAAACCACCTAGTTCGATACTCTGGTTTCTCTACAGATCATATAAATCTTTCACCTTTTACTAAAGATGTACAGGGAGAGGAACAATTCTCAGTCTTTAACCAATTATTTGAGGCCTTGGCATTACTGGGGATATTAAAAAAAAAAAAAAAAAAAAAACCACTGTTACTAAAGCCCTAAGACACATATGTACCTTCGCTCCACCTGAAGAAAAATTCAGAATCAGCCCCTTCAGGATGAAGGCCATCACCTCATGATAAAGGTGGTAATTAATATGGGAGCAGAATAATCCTCTGAGAGAAATAATATAGGAGGAGACCTGGCAAAGGGCAGCACCTCAGGGAACACCCATGTTTAGGAAACAGAGAAGCCAGGGACAAACATGAAGAAGCAGAGTCAGAAAACCATAGAATGAAACTATCTGGTAACCAGTCCAACTACCGAAAAGAAAAATAATAAATGGTAAAACAACAACAACAACAACAACAAAAAAAAAAAAAAACACCCCATGAAATTTCACAGAAGCAACCAAACAAAGAAGGCCACATACAGATACTCTAAATCTCAAAAGGTATGGCCCAGAAAAGGCTGGGGAGTAGCCACGTCCTCAGGCTACAAAAAAAGTGAATACAAACTGACTTGTTGACCCTCAAACTATAGCTCAGTGGTTCCCACCACTTCCAACAAGACTTGAGTGTTAACATCTTTCCCCCCTTCAGCAAGCTATTTTCCATATGTCCCTTGCACATGTCCTCTTTGCTGCATCCCAACTCCAAATGTCACCAGCCATTTGTTTTTACGCCTATTACATTTTTTCTGTTAACAGAAACAGGGAAACTTTAGAGGGCACTTGTTAAAAGACCACTAGTCTGATTGTAGCACCTGAGGATTTGTAGAGAGAAGAGGCAACAGCAAAAACTGGACATGTAGACTGGGGCTGAATGTTGAAGGTCTCTATGGACAAGCACATCACAGACTTTTCTCTTAGAAACTCAGCTTTCAGGTAAAAACACTGAAACAATACTAAGAGCGCAATAAAGCCCAAGCACGCAAAACAAAATCCTACAGTTTCCCTTGTGACCACTACGTACAAGATTTGCAAGAACAACACTTCCTGCCATAGGAACTCTGTGTGCCTCAGATGAAAGCGGTTCCTCTGCTTTCATAAATTAACCAAGAGTGCCAAGAGTGAGGCAGCAACAAGAACACGTTCAGCTGAGCAACCCCTCTGATGAAGGTGGAAAGGCTTTTCTCAGCAACCCAAAGTCAACCTGCAGTCCTCACTATGAGGGATTTTTGCAATTAAAAAGCCATCTTGATTAAAGTTTTAAAAATTGGCAGCCTGGGGACCAGTAGGGGGTATGGTGGTTAGAGCACTGGACTCCCACGTAGCTGACCATGGTTTGAGTCCCAGACCTGGTGGCTCGTTTTCTTACTTTCCCTTCTCTCTGTTGAGCACATGTGCCCTGTGTAGGAAATTAAAAAAAATAAATAATGGGAGCTGGCAGGTGGTGTGGTGTCTCCGTTGAGCACATGTGCCCTGTGTAGGAAATTAAAAAAAATAAATAATGGGAGCTGGCAGGTGGTGTGGTGGTTAAGGGCACTGAATTCCCACATGGCCAACTGTGATTCGAGTCCTAGACCTGGAGGCTTGCTTTCTTGCGTGCTCTCTCTTTCTCTCTCTCTCACTCTGTCCCTCTGGTCAAATTAAAATAAATAAATAAAGTTAAATAAAGTAATTCTTTTAAAAAAAAGTAATAATGGTGATAAATAAAATTAAATACATAATTCTTTAGTAAAAAATGACAGCCTGAAAAGATTAACATTTTAATGTATTACTAGAAGCAACCAAATATGTGAAATGGGTCAGTTAAAGCTCAAACAGAAGCACTGTGTCATATGGAAGAAGCAGAATCACAGATGACAATCAGTTTAGTCATCCAGCCTCAGTCATCAATCTGAAGCATTGCTCAAAAATAGAAGAGGTGTTAACAGATCCTATGAAGAGATTTGCAGGGAGTTTTCTTGAACAAAGAAAGGGAGCTGGACCAGGCCTACCACAGGCAGGGCAAATAGACACTGTAGTGTGTATTTTCTAGGGCAAGGGGGTGGAGTAAGCTGCTGCCCAAGTTATCCAGAAGAATAAGGACAGTGCCTATTTACTGAGGGCTATGAGTCAGGCACTGTACTAGGTGTCCCACTCACATTCAGTCCTCCTAGAAACCCTGTGAAAGAGGTATCATTAGCTTCATTTTATAGATGAACAAATCTGGATGCTTAGAGAAGTTAATTAAGATCACACATTTGTTAAGTCGCAGAGCAGATGCTTAGAGCTGAACAGGACACTATGCTCATCCACTATAACATATACTTCCCAGTGTGGAAGGTGGTCAAGAGGTACAATATAATGAAACGGCTCTAGTCAATCAACCAACATTTATTAACACCACTGTAGACCCTAGACAGAGGATTCAAGAGTGAACCTGACAACCACTTCACACCACCAGGATAGCTATAATTAAAAAGACAGAGAGTAACTGCTAGTAAGGATGTGGAGAAATTGGAATATTTGTATGATGCTGGCGGGATTATAAAATAGTACAGCTGCTGTAGAAAATAGTTAAACATAGTTATCATATGACCTGGCAATTCCACTCCTAGGTATATGCCCATGACAGATGGAAACATGAACCCACACAAAAACTTGTACATGAATGTTCATAACAGCATTATTTAGAATCATCAGAAGGTGGCAATGATCCAAATGTCCAACTAACAAGTCAATTATATCATACAATAAAGTAGCATATCTATACAATGAAATATTCAGCAATTAAAAGAAATGAAGTACTGATGGATGAACCTTGAAAACATGACACGAAGTTAAAGTGTCACAAAAGATCACAAAAGTGTCATTTACATGAAATTTCCATAATAGGGAATCCATAGAGAGAAATAGGCTAGAAGTTGCCCCAGCATGGAGGACTAGAGGAGAAATGAGCAATGAGTACTAATGTGTATTGGGTTTCTTTTTTTTTCTTTTTCTTTTTTTTTTGGGAGAGGTTTTTGTTATAGGGCACGTGTGCTCGCCAGACAGACAGAGACAGACAGAGAGACAGAAAGCGAGAAATCACCCCCTGGGGGGATGGCCACACTGCAATCCCTTCTCCTCCATTCTCCTCTCAGGATCTTGGGCACGCACGCACACGCACCTGGCGTGAGTTTTTTTTTTTTTTAAGCCACCGGGTCCGGGATACGAATCGCGGCCGAGAGAGTCCAGCAACATAGCCATTACGCTAACTGCTGGTCCCTGTACTGGGTTTCTTTCTGAGGTGATGAAAATATTCTAAAGTTGATTGTGATAATGGCTTTATGATTCCATGAATATGCTAAACTTTGCTGAGTTTTATACTTTAAATGGCTAAATTGTATGGTATGAGAATTAAATTCCAGGACCAGCAGTTGGCATAAAGGCGATGTTGCTGGACTCCCATCTAGTCAACCGTAGTTTGAGTTCCAGACCCAGTGGCTTAAACTCATCTAGTCAACCGTGGTTCGAGTCCCAGACCCAGTGTGTGTGCATGTGCATGCCCTGGATCCCAAAAGGAAGGAGAAGGGAATGGGAATGCAGCATGGCCATGCACTGAGGAGTGATTTCTCGCTTTCTGTCTCTCTGTCTCTCTCTTTCTGGCGAGCACTTGCACCCTATAGCAAAAACCTCTCAAAAAAATAAATAAATAAAAGAAAGAAAAAAAATCCAACAAATCTGTTATTAACATTTCTTTTTCTTTTTCCTTTTTTTTTTCTTTAATTTTGCTATAGGACATGTGCACTCACAGGAGAGAGAGCGAGAGCAAGGGCGAGAGAGAGAGAGAGAGAGAGAGGAAGTAAAAGGCACCTCCCAGGGGATGACCATGCTGTAATCCCTTCTACTCCATTCTCCCCTTAAGATTATTTGAGGCACACACAGCCAGTATAGTTTTTAAGCTGCTAGGTCCAGGACTCAAATCATGTAGTTAGCCATGTGGGATCCAGTGCCTTAACCTCTATGCCACCTGCCTGCTCAATAAAGCTGTCTTTGAAAGGTAGACTAGAGTACTTGCTCTCTGGGCATTTATAAACAAAAGTTATACTATTGGGTTGTCAGGAAAGTCATGACTCACTTTTGTGTAGAATATCATGGAAAAACACATCATGACTTTCCCAACAACCTCACAGTATATGCTCCACAATGGCAATAAGCCTACAATGCGTTAGCAAAAAAGTGGGAGTGGAATGACAGAAGTCAAGAAGTCTTCCAGAAGGAAGTAAAATCTGAGCAGACCATTCAAGAGATAAGTGAGAAACAGGCTGGTGAAAATGATATATTACCCAAGCACACCCTAAATATACCCTGGGCCTATCTAATAAGAGAAGTAATAGAATTAGTCAAACTGGTTTTGTTAATTTTACCAAACGACCTTCCCATCCAGACCTGGATATCTTTAGCTGAATTATCCAAATGCATGTTTGCTCAGTCTTATAATACAATCCATCCCGGCAGTCTCTGTTGTTTTTGTTTGTTTTTTGAGAGGTTTTTGCCATAGGGCACATGCGCTCACCAGAAAGACAGAGAGAGACACAATGCGAGAAATCACCCCCCACCCCAGGGGGAATAGCCAAGCCGCAATCCCTTCTCCTCCATTCTCTTGGGATCCTGGGCATGCACGCACACATGCTAAGCGTGAGTTTAAGCTACCGGGTCCAGGACTTGAACCACAGTCAACTACATGGGAGTCCAGCAACATAGCCATTATGACATTTGCTGGTCCCCCAGCAGTCTCTGCTAATTTTACAATAAAAAGCCAACTGCTGAGTCTGAGCTCACATTACTGGTATCTCCCTAGCCTAGCATACACAAAATTCAGTAAATAAAAGTAGATTAAATAATAGGAAGTTCAGATCTCTGAGTGGGATGGATCTCCTAACTCAGGGACAAAATTTAGAAATGTCAATCATTCGCCTTCACAGATTGAATATAGAATTGAAGTCCTTTGCATGACAAGGTCTGCCCATCTTATAAAGTAGAAACAAATAGTTACTAGGTGCCAACCTTCATGTCAACAAAAAATAATTTAAAAACTTATGTAGTAAA